GTCGATGATGATGATGATGATGATGATGATGATGATGATGATGATGATGATGATGATGATGATGATGATGATGATGATGATGATGATGATGATGATGATGATGATGATGATGATGATGATGATGATGATGATGATGATGATGATGATGATGATGATGATGATGATGATGATGCTGTTGTTGTGCACGAATGCCCCTTGCACGAACACATGGGCAAGCGCCAGCGTGTTCTTTGATGTCTCTTCCCCACCGACACCACCACCATCACCTCATCTCAACCACCACAACTGTGTGTGTGCGTGCGTGCGTGTGTGTGCGTGTGCGTGTGTGCGTGTGTGCAGGGAGTGAATCTTGTTATCAACTTTGATTTCCCGCCATCCGCAAACGAATACATCCACCGCGTTGGTGCGTACACCATGAACTGCTGGTGTGGTGGTGTGGTGTTGTGTGGTCTCGTGCACGTGCTTGTGTGTGAACATGCGAAGAAGTGTTTGTGACTGTGATTGCGAGGTGGAATGAAATATATTTCATCAATCACTGACCGCCACCCACGCCCATGACCATGATCATCAACCTGTTCAGGCCGGACTGGCCGTGCTGGGCGCACGGGTACCGCCATCACATTCTTCACAACACGCGACGCTCCCATCCTCAGATCGTGAGCGCACTGTGCAGTGCATATGTGTTTGTGTTTGTGTTTGTGTGTGTGTGTTTGTGTGTGTTTGTGTGTGTTTGTGTGTGTTTGTGTGTGTGTGTGTGTTTGTGTCTGTGTGTGTGTTTGTGTTTGCGTTTGTGTGTTTGTGTTTGTTTGTGTGTGCGTGTGTCTGTGTTTGTATGTGTGTGTGTGTTTGTGTTTGTGTTTGTCTTCCCTTCTGTCTGTGTCAACACAGCCATACATCCTTCTATTCACTGCCTTCGTGCTCATGCTCCCAATTCCACCACCGCCACTGCCACCGCGTGTCGCCTGATTCAGGATTGCGTCTGTGATCCGGGCGTCTGGGTGCGATGTTCCCGACTGGATCTTCCAACTGCCAAACTTGCCGTACGTTCACTGCAGGAGAGCAGGCAATGCGGAACGTGGCGATGGGTGTGGCAGCTGATGCTGCCTGTTTGAACAGCATGATGAGCATTGCTCCTGAGGCACAAACACTCCCTCCCTCACGCACACAACCAACTCACTTCCTCACGCACACAACCAACACACACACATATACACACATACAATCAACACACACATACACACATACAAACACACACACATATACACACACACGCGCACACAACCAACTCACACACACACAACCAACTCACACACACACACACACACACACACCCCGCACCCCCAATATCCCCCGCACGACTGCAGGAAGAAGCAGCGGTCGCGGACGGTGACGCGCGCGACGATCAGCTCGAGCGCAGCGGCGATGATGGCGGACAAGGCAAAGCGGCGCGCGTGGGCAGAGAAGCAGCGCGCCGGCAAGGGAAAGAAGGCGAAGCGCGGGAAGAAGAAGAGTGGTGGTCGTGGTGGCGGTGGTGGTTCGAAGAAGGGGAAGAAGCAGGGTGCTGTGGACTTGGCAGAGTGATGGATGAGGGTGGATGGTTCTTCTCTCATACATGCATACGCTGCGATGGATGAACATGTGAATGAGTGGAAACGCTGAAACATTGCAGTGGGAAGAGTGCAGGCAGAGAGAGGAAGGGGTAGGGAGAGGAAGGAGGAGGAGGCAGTCGCACACACACATGCAGACACACAAAACACACACACACACACACACACACACACACACACACACACACACACACACACACACACACACACACACACACACACACACACACACACACACACACACACAAAAGTTGACTCGACGAGCCTTGGCGACACGACACACAGAGAAGTAGTAAAGATGACTCATCAGCTGTTTTTGTTGTGTCCCAACAAAGATGAGAAGATGCGTTTTGCGCACACACACCCCACGCACACAGCAAACAAAGCCGCCCTCATTTCTCACTGCCACGTCCACCCTGTCCGTCGTCGCATCTGCACCTCTCATTTCGCCGACGTCCTGTCCTGTTGTCCTGAGGTGCGCTGGATGGAGAGGGCTCTGTGTGTACCTATGTGCATGTATGTGTGTGTGTGTCGAAATGTGCATGTATGTGTGTGCATGTGTGTGTGTGTACGTGTGTTCGCCTTGCTCATCGCAGCAGTGGCGTTGTCCTGCAACAGCATGCAAGAGCTCATCTCTTTTGGGTTTCACTCGCCTGTCCGGAGCAGAGAACACCCACAAGGAAGCGGAGAGACACAGATCTGCGTGTTTTGGCAAGGCCGAGTTCGGCATCATGGCAGACTCCTTTTCGCTGAAGATCGTGTCAAAGTTTGAGGTTGCCCCACACTCCATCGGCAATGGCAGGTTTGGCATGGTCTTCCCGGCCGCTATTGCCAACTCAGAGGTACCTGTTGTGTGTGTGTGTGTGTGCCTGTGTGTGTGTGTGTGTGTGTGTGTGTGTGTGTGTCTATGTCCGTGTGTGTGTTTGCATGAACATGAAAGTGTTTGAACATCTCGCTCTCACACACACTCACTCAAACTCAACACTTGTGTGGTGTCATGGCTTGGTAATCAACCAGGCCAAGCGTCATGGCGTGCGAGGCATAATCGCCAAGAAGGTTCACATCAACAACCTGGAAGCGGAGTGAGTTCCTCCCACGCTGCCCCCCCCCCCCAACACTCGCTCGACACAACGCACGCTGCTTGTGTTATGCATGTCATGCCACCGCGCGCTTGCACACTTGTCCTGTACTCGCCACATTCAATTCACGATACGCAACACACACACACACACATACACACACACACACACACATACACACACACACACACCTCACAGGCGCTCTGAAGAGGACCGGCGGCGCGTGGTGCTGCAGGAGATCGACCTGCACCAGGGTTTGCGTCACCCCAACATTGCAAAGCTCATCGACTACCAACTGCTGTACAAGGTACCCCGCACGCGCGTGCGTGTGCGCGTGAGTGGGTGTACGTGTGCGTTTGTGCGTGAGGCGGGGGGCAATACCATGACTCAGCGATTTTGATCTTTGCGTGAACCATCCTGCTTGACTCACGCCAAACATTGTCAACGTTGTCATCATTGTGAACAATGACGACGAACGACCGCCGCTACCATCATCATCATCATCATCATCATCATCATCATCATCATCATCACCACCACCACCACCACCACCATTACGACGTGCCAGGATCCACACACGCGCCAAGAGCACCCTGCTGGGCGACACGAGTTCAACGTGGCCTGGCTGTTTGTGGAGCGTCTTGGGTTCTCGCTCGTGGAGGCAATGGACAGGAACATCCCAGTCAACATCGCCGATGTAATTGATGACGTCACCGCCGCGCTCGCTTTCATCCACAGCAAAGATGTGCTCCACAGGTGTGTGTGTGTCAGTGTGTGTGTGTATGTGTGCGTGTGCGTGTTTCAACAGGAACACGTTGTTGCCTTGTCTTTGGTGTGCATATTTGATTGCTGTTACTGCCCACTCAAAAGCACACCTTAACCACCACCACCACCACCACCACCGCCACCAACAGGGACGTGTCGCCTGGCAACATCATGGGTGTGTACGACGATCAGCGCAAGCGCACGGTGTTCAAGATGATTGACTTTGGCGTCTCCCGCCACAAGTTGACACACGAGCACCCGATCACCACCGTTGCCGGTACCCGCGGGCTGCAGGCGCGGGAATACCTCCTCGTCGAGGCCTGTGAGTCACACCAGGACGTGCGTGTGCGTGAGCGTGGGCGTTTGCGTGGGTGTGTTTACGTGTGTGAATGCGTGTGTGACCTCATGCACCAACCCACGTCATGGTGTTTTTCCTTCCTCAACCAATAATGGCGTGTGTGTGTGTGTGTGTGGATGTGTGTGTGTGTGTGTGTTCTTACGCAGTGCCCCGCGAGCTGTCTCTGCTGCATGAAGGCAACGACCGCGCCCTTGTATCCACCAAGGTGACCCACACATACCGTCATGTACATGCATGCATGCATTCGTGCATGTGTACACTCGTGCTTGCAGCGTGCGGCGTTGTCACCACTCGATCGCTCGCAGTTGCTGTTCCACTCGGGCCTCGTGCCTTTACACACGCATTCACATCATTCTTGGCTTGCACCGTGCTTCTTTCTCACTCGTTCGCACGCACGCACGCACACACATACATACACACATGCATATACAAACACATACACACGTGCCGCGACCATCCTCCTCCCCCCAATGCACGCATCTGCGACCACAGGTGGACATGTATTCGCTCGGCGCCACGCTGTATTACTTCCTCGTGCGCCACGTGCCGCAGGACACCGCTGCCAGCACCGTTCACACCGATCTCCGGCAGAGCCACTACCACCGCCACACCACCGACGGCATTGGTGTTGGCGATGGCGATGATGGGCGTGCTGGTGACAACAACACCAACAGCGACGGAATGCTTGCGGTCATATTGCAGTCGCTGCTGCAGCCGCGACCAGAGATGCGCCCGTCAGCAGTGGACACGCAGATCTGTGAGTTTGTTGTGGCTTGCGGCATTGTGCGTGTGCGTGCGTGTGTGTATGCGTGTGTACGTGTGTGTGTGCGTGCGTGTGCATGCGTGCGTGTGCATGTATGTGTGCGTGCGTGTTGAAGGGATTACATCACTTCATTGACATGTCCGCTCTGTCCTCTGCAATTTCCTCATTCTCCACACCATACCTCCTGACCACCAATCAATCACCCATCACCACCACCACCAATCACGACTGCCAGTGGCTGCTGCGTACCGCGTGCTCCGTGGCGATCGCAGCGCTGTTCTCCGCCGGTTTGGCCTCGACCCGGACTACTCGTCTGTGAAAGGCATCAGTCTCGCTGCACTCCGTCGTGAGGTGGCGGCGGCCGTCCGCAACGCCAAGTCCCAGTGGGGAAAGCGCGGCGTCTTTGATGTCCACGACCTTGTTGCCGGTCTGAAGAAAGGTGGGGTGTTGGCGCTGTGGTTTGGCGATTTGCGCCTGCGTGTGTCATGATGTGCTTCGAAACATCAGCTACAGTTGCGTGTTGGTGCTTGACGTGTTGACCAATCGATCACTGTTGATTGATTATCCTTTAGTGCCAGCATCATTGGAGAAGTCTCATCATCACCCATCTCTGTGTCGCGTTGCTCACGTATTGCACACACACACACACACACACACACATAAACACACACACGCAGTGTTGTCGCTGGACGTTGTTCGTCCCGTGAGTGTGATGGACTTCAGCACGTTGGACGAGAAGACGGTGCTCCTCTACCCAGATGACACCTTCCCAGACTACACGTGAGGTTTCACGGCGTGTGCTCGTGGTCCTGTATGCTTGGGTGGCCGTACTGTGTCGTTCGTTGTCGTCATTGGTTTTGCCTGGACTATCTCCGCGAATCACCTGCACTGTGTCAAATCAACCCACACACACACACCCCCTCACACGCACCCCCTCACACGCACACACACACACACACACAATCACACAATCACACAATCACACACACACACACACACACACACACACACACACACACACACACACACACACACACACACCAACAGCGTGGGTCTGTTCCGCCATCGGCTGCAGGAGCAGTGGAATGAGGACGATGACGTGTGCATCGTCGTTGCTCTTCGTCACCGCGACGAGCTCGACGCGTGCCTGGACCCTGCTGCACTCGACAGCCTCTTCACGGGTGACACGTCTGCACCAATTCCGCGCTGCTGCTTCGAGACCGGCACGGTGAGACCACGCGTTGCGTGATGCGTGATGCGTGATGGGCACCTGCATGCATGCAGGTATTCATGTGCGTAGTTGTGTGTGTGTGTGTGTGCACGTGTGCGTGCGTATGTACATGTGTGTGTGTGTGTGTGTGTGTGTGTGTGTGTGTGTGTGTGTGTGTGTGTGTGTGTCGAACAACAACTTCGTGTTTTCTGCACGTTATGAACGCTCACCCATCCACGCTCATCATTACCGTATCACCACCACCGCCACTGTCACCAGTCGCTGCGCCTGTTTGTGCTGCGCAACCCCCGGTTTGACCTTCACAGCAGCTTCATGTCTCGTCTCGATGGGGACAGGCTCATCACCACCGAAATCATTGGAAGCCCACAGGACGAATACGTTCGCACACTCACAAAGATCAAGGACAAGGTACATGATTGCAGGGGGATTGCAGGGGGACACTGTTTGTGCATGTGTGTGTGTGTGTGTGCAAGTGTGTGTGTATGTGTGTGTTTGTGTGTTGGGGGTACACGTCGTGTAATGCGCGTGCATGTTTGTCTGCATACATAATCTGACGCTCACCTCACCACCACCACCACCACCACCACCACCACCACCACCACTATCCCTGTTGCTGCTGATGATGACAGGAGGCCGCGTGGGCCGCCATTCTCGACCGCATCTCGTCTATGTGTCGTCAGTGGTCGAAGGTCACGCGCGAACTGCACGAGCGGTTTGAGTTTACAGAGCAGGTGCGATGGTGATGATGGTGGTGGCGGTGGTGGTGGTGGTGAGGATGATGATGATTGGTGGTGGTGGGCTGTCACGTCCATGGGTACTCATTCGGCTGGAGGGCGTCCACGCTTGTTCACACCACAGCATCAACTGCTATGCACTCAACCGCAATCTCCGATCGTTCTCACGTTCCGTCGCTCGTCTCGCCTCGCACACACACACACACACACACACACACACACACACACACACACTCTCTCTCTCTCTCTCTCTCTCTCTCTCTCAACAGAGAATTGAGGTGCTCATTCCAAACGCAAAGCGCACATTCGAATCCCTGGCCGAGCTTGACAGCAACCCGGTTCCATGCGAGCTGTATGACTTTTGCCGTCGACAGCTCAAACAATGGGTACGTGGTGTCGCATGATGACACGGTGGCGCGTATCCATTGTATGCGTGTGTGTGTATGCGTGTGTGTGTGTGTGTGTGCATGCATGTTGACACATGTTGCGTGTTTGCATGTCGATGCTCTTCGAGCGTCCATGGCATTGCTGATGCCAATGAAGTTCTCACCACCTTCCCTCACCGTCCGTCACCACCATCATCTCCCACCAAAACACATCACCATCCCACCATCACCGCAGCGCAATGGCGGCGAGATGAAGCCTCACCACTACCGCCTTCTCATACAGGGGTGGGAGCGCGAGGCTCAGGGCTTCAACACAAACCTCAGGCGTGAACTGCTGTTCTCGGCCATTGTGAAGCTGCGTGAGGGGCAACGCTTGATCGAGAACGATGCCATTGTCAACAGGAATGACAGCGATGTGATCGCTGATGAGCTTCGCACCGCAATGCTGCAGACCTCCAGCCGTCCCGTCACCACGCAGATGCAGCTGCCCACGACCGATTACTCCATCATCGACCACTGCGACGTGCCCCTGCACCCCAACCAGGAGGCGTCATCCACAGATGCCGTGGTGGCCAGCATCCGTGACATGGACCCTGCATGGCAGTTTGACTCTTCCTCGCCGCGCGCCAAGAGCCAGCACACGCACGCGGACACCACGGAGGCCACTACTACCGCTATTGTTGAAGACGGCGACACTGCCGACATGGATGGTGATGGTCATGGTGATGGTGAGCTTGTGGCGGATGCTGCTGCCATTGATGATGACGACGAGCAAGGCGATGCTGCTGCTGCTGCTGATGATGATGATGTGCGGGCGACTGAGGTGATGGTTCGCGACATGGAATCTGCGGCATCTGCAGACACGGGCAGTGACGAAGACGAGGATTTGCACACCGCCACCACTGTTGACGAGGAGCAAGAGCAAAAGGAGCACGCAGGGGAGGACGAGCAAGGCAAAGAAGGTGAATACGATGATGACGATGATGACGATGATGGTGGTGAGGAGGAGGGACAGGCAGACAAGACACCGACAGCATCGACATCAGCGCCGCCAGATGACGACGACTTTGTGATTGTGTCCAGCGAGAACAAAGGAGAAGGTGAAGCGAGGGAAGAAGAGGGGAACGAAGAAGAGGAGGAAGAGAAGAAAGAGGGTCACGGTGGCGACGGCGACAGCCGCTTGGATGTGGTGACGCGTTGGCAGAATGCAACGCGCCTGAACAACGTGCTGCTGTTCCAGAAGCAGCAGCTGCAGGCCGAGCAGGAAGGGCTGAAGCAGAGCATGGTGCGGGTGCGGCTCGAAGCAAAGGAGAAGGAGAGGCAGGCTGCTCGCACGCAGCAGCGGCTGGCAGCGGCAGAGCAGGCGACGAAAGACGCGCAGAAGCAGCTTGAGGAGATGAAGGCTCAGGTGGAGGCGCTCACGTGCATGACCGCAACTGGCGGGGATGGCACGACCGGCACCTCGCCATCTATGGCAGACGTGCACCGCCAGCTGCTTGAGCTTGTGAGGGCGAAGCGAGCCATGGAGGCCGAGAGCAAGACGCAGCGCGAGCAGTATGAGAAGGAGGTGATTGCGCTGAGGAAGCAGCTGGCAGGGCTCAAGCTGATGCAGGCCACCACCATTCACACGCTAAATGGCGCCGCCAACGGGACCAGTGCTTCTGCTGCTGGCAATGACGACGATGACGAGAAGACCGTGTCCGTGCCGCTCTAATCAAAGCGTGTGTGAGTTGTGAGAGTGTGTGCGTGTGTGTGTGTGTTTGTATGCCGGTTTTGTTGCTGTTGCTGTTGTTGTGGTTGACGTTACAACATTGCGTTTTTGTTACGTCCCGTTGGTTGCACATTCATGCGCATGCTTCTTTTGAAGCGCGTGATCTGGCATTTGTTTTGTTCAAGTTGCGTTCTTTCGTTCTTCCTGCTGTTCCTTGCTTACCGCATTAATTTCAGTGCGTGGACCTTTGAGCCGTACTGCCCACATCTTGTCGGCGTTGTGCGTTATGTCTCGTTTCACAAGCAAATACACGCCAAAAGCCATCAAGCACACACAGAATGCTCATGCGAATGACAATGACATCACAACCACCACCAACACCACCATCACTGCTATTCAGCTATCATGATTGTATTGCGTTGGACGTGTCATGGGTCAAACTTTGCGTCGACATTCACGTCCGTATGTAACAACTTTGCGTCAGCAACACACACACACACACACACACACACAGCAAGTGCACAGATGAATGGATTAACAGCAACAAATTGCAAGACAATGGCCTTAACCAAACATATCACGTTCGACTAACAAGCTTCGCAAAACCCAAGATACACAAACACATGGAACACACCGGGACAAACCACGACACGAACACGAACGGGAAGTGATGCACTTTGTTTGCAATGGCACGGGAGTGCGTGCATGTTCAGTAGTATGTTTCGCGGAAGGCAAATCCAGTCGGGTACTTGCGAATGAACCACTTGCGAATCTCATCAAACATGAGGATTGAGACGGAGAAGGGGAGCGGAGTGAGCCAGTGGCGGAACAGCAGCGGGCGCATGTTCAGTGCGACGTCGGTGCCCGGTGCATACGACAGCACAGCAGCGAGCGCCGTCTCAAAAAAGAGCGCAAACGTCAGCACGCCGTTCCTGTTGGGGGGTGGAGGGTGGGGGAGAAGAGGGACATGGTGGGTGAGGTAGTGCGAGGAAAAATGGGAGAGAGAATGTGTGTGCAACACGTGTGCATATGCATGTATGTACGCATGCATTTATCTATTTATGCAGGCGGTTGTATTTCGCTAATTGCGCCACAACCGCAACATCCACTCTCGCTCACCACCACCACCACCATCACTGCATGTGCTCACCGCATGCCCTGCTGCATGAGGGAGAGACGACGCGTCTTGCAGATGACCAGATCGGTCCATTGCGCAATGACGATGGAGACGAAGAACGCCGTCTGGCACGTCGCCTCGAGGTCCTTGCGCTGGTCATACGTCTGCAGGCGGCCATGGTGGCGGTGGTGGTGATGATGATGATGAAGTGTTGCAGTGGTGGGGTGGTGGTGGACGAGGGAATTGTCGTGTGGTTGAGTGAACTGATGGGTTTGGTGATTAGACAAAACGGCAGCCAGGCAGCTTCAAGCGCAAGGCCGCACAACACCACTGCACCACCCGCATGTTCCCGCCTCTTCCCGCTCACCCATTGCTGGCCGTAGCTGTCTGTGACTTCCTCGAAGTTGCGGTCGTCCCAGTCGTCACGAAGACCAAACACGTCGTTCATCAAGAAGCCATATTCGCTCATCTGCGTGCAGTATGTGAAGAAGCCAGCTGCCGTCTGGACTGCGCCAATGAGGAGGTACGTCATGCACAGCAGCCGGATGTTGACGAGGCGGTCCTTGGTTGGGTTGCGCGGTGGTCGCATCATGATGTCGGACTCCGGGCCCTCGTACGCCAGCGAAATGGCGGGCACCTGGGCCGTGTAAACGCGTTGTGTGGGTGGGTGGGGGGGGGGAGGGAGGGAGGGAGGATTTGGAGTCGAGTTGAGGGGATAGGTATGGGATGAGTGAGAGAAATGGAAAGCGATAGCGCGACAAGGCAAACAGAACGGAACAAAGGCGACACGGCTGAAGCAGGCACACACACACACACGCACGCACACACACACACACACACAGACACACAGACAGACACACACACACACACACAGACACACAGACAGACAGACACACACACACACACGCGCGCATACGCACCATATCTGTTCCGAGATCGATGCAAAGAATGGTGACGGTGCCGAGGGGAAGCGGGGCGGAAGCGAGAACGAAGAAGAGGAACGGGGTCAACTCAGGCAGTTTGGATGTGAGGGTGTAGGCAATGGACTTCTTAAGGTTGTCGAAGATGAGTCGCCCTTCCTCCACGCCAGTCACAATGGACGCAAAGTTGTCGTCAAGGAGAATCATGTCTGCTGCCTGCTTGGACACATCGGAGCCAGCGATACCCATGGCAACACCAATGTCAGCCTTCTTCAGCGCAGGGGAGTCGTTCACACCATCGCCCGTCACAGCAACAATCTGGCCAGCACGCTGGCAGCCTGAGGTGGTGTTGATGTGGGATGGGTGAAGTTCGGAAGGGAAGGGGAGGAGAATGTGAGGAGGAGGGCAATGGGAGCGAGTACGCGTTGGCATAGGCGTTGTATGATGCGACGTGAGGCAGACACAAGGGCATAATGAACAGGGAATTGTTACCCATCAACGTGCACACACGCGCACAGACACAGACACACACACACCGCAGCAGCAGCAGGGGTATCGCACCTTCGACGATGATGAGTTTCTGCTGTGGAGATGTACGGGCAAACACAATCTCAGTGTGGTTGGCGAGCACGTGGTCAAGGTCCTCTGCCGACATGTCTGCCAGCGTGGAGCCCTGAAGTCAAAGACACAATCGTGCATTGAGCGCCGGTGTGCATGTGTGAACGACAACAGAGGGGAAGAGACATGCATGCAACAAGGGCACTGCGAAGGCACGTGTCATGAATAAAGAACACAGTGAAGGATTGAAGCCACTTAAAATAAAACAAAATGGACACCTTGACGACGATGGCACCAGGTTCCGACAGGTCAATGGACGAAGCGTCCACCCCGCGCTCCTCTGCAAGATCATCGATAGTTTTCTCCGTGTAGATGATGCCGACTTGCTTCGCAATCGCCTGCGCTGTCACGGGGTGGTCGCCCGTCACCATGATGACCTGTGTGTGCGTGTGCGTGCGTGTGAGTGTGTGTGTATGTGTGTATGTGTTGTGAGTGGGAAAAGCGAGCGTGAGAAAATCCAAGCCAGCTTGGTGCACACGAAGGCCAGACAGCCACATGCACACGCACGCACGCACACACACACACACACACATGTTCAGTGGCTCACCTTGATACCGGCAGAGCGGCACTTTGCGACGGCGTTGGGGACGGCGGGGCGAGGGGGATCAATCATGGCAAAGAGACCGCAGTACACGAGACCTTCGAGTGGGAAGTTGGCGGGCTGGGTCTCAAACTGGTAACCAGAAGGGTACTGGTCGGCGGGGAGGCGGAGGCAGGCAAAGCCAAGCACACGCTCGCCACGCTTGCCGAGGGCGGTGTTGTTGTCCTCAAACTTCTTGCGATCCGCCTCGGTCATGTCGACAATCTCGCCGTTGCGGTAGAGATGCGAACAGCGGTTGATGATGCGCTCGGGGGCACCCTGCAATCGATGATGATGATGATGATGATGATGATGATGATGATGATGATGATGATGATGATGATGATGATGATGATGATGGTCGTGAGGATGGTGGTGATGATAGTGAGCGACGTCGTGTTCGATGTCACGGACAGAAAAGCAGGCAAGAATGATACAATGCGCGCAGTTGTACATACAAACACAGACAGAGACACACACGCCACATGTACACACATAGAGCACAGCAAAATAGTCGCACCTTCATGACGAGGAGGTAGCGCGGGTCGTCGTCTGGTGTCTCGTGCACAGAGACCTGGTACTTGTTCTTCGAGTTGAAGGGAATGTCAGCCACATTTGGGTACTTGGAGCGCTCGCCAACAACGAGCGAATCCTTGACGGACTTTGTCTCTGTCAGCACGCGTGCAGCGTTACGCTCCGTGTACTTGAAGATGGCGGACTCAGACGCATCGCCAATTGTGTCACGCCGGAGGATGGGCACGTCACTGAAGTCCTCGCCGGGGTTTGGCGGGCGGAAGTTGGCCTGCGGTTAAGGTGGTGGTGGTGGTGGTCGTGGTGATCATCGGGGGTATCACATAACATGCACAAGTTACATCCACAAACTCACACAAGCGAACGGACAAACACACACACACACACACACACACACACACACACACACACACACACACACACACACACAGCCCATACCTTGTTGCAAAGGACGGCGACGCGAAAGAGGGCGAGGTAGGAGTCGTTGATGTCAAACTGCATCTTCTTCTCCACCTTCGGGTCCGTGTTGATCTCTCGAATCTCTTGATCAAAGCAAATGTGTGCAACCGTCATGTTGTTCTGCGTCAGGGTGCCGGTCTTGTCGGAGCAGATGGTGGAGGTGGAGCCAAGCGTCTCCACAGCCTCCAGGTTCTTCACGAGGCAGTTCTTCGTCGCCATCTTCTTTGCCGTCAGCGTCAGGCACACCGTCACCGTGGCGAGCAGACCCTCTGGTCAAGTCATTTCGGGAGAGGGGATGTGTGTGTGTGTGTGTGTGTGTGGTTATGTTTAACACGAACGCGTGAGCTGAGGCAAAGCGAGAGTAACAACCATGTACGGCCACACTCACTCACACCCACCCCCCCCACACACACAATACAACACACGCACACCCCTCCAGCACCCCCCCCCCAACATACAGACAAACCAAAGTGCAAGGGAGATGCTTACCTGGCACCTGAGCGACAATGATACCGATGAGGAAGATGACGGCGTCGAGCCAGAAGTAGCCGATGGCGAGCGAAATGGCAAAGAAGATCGCACCAACTGCACACAATGACGATGCAAGAGGGGAGGGGGGAAGAGGTTGTGTCAGTACACAAATGAACGTAGGGATGCGCGTATGAATGTAGGTATGAATGTATGGATGGGGTGTTTCTGTAAATGAGAGTGTGGTCGGTGTTGTGGTAGCGCGAGGTTTGCTGTCGTATGTGTCCATGAACGTGTTGCAGGAAACCACACCAATCATGGCGACGATGGTGATGATCTTGGTGAAGTGATGAATCTCCCGTGCAATTGGGGTTTCTGCAAGTGTTGTTCGACACGAAACGAGCGGGTGAGTCAAGGGGGATACGGCAATGGCAAGTAGTCATGGAGTTGCTGGGCGGATCAGTGGCCGTCTTGAAGCACACATGAGCTGACAGAGACAAATGCGAAAGCACAAGGCAGCCAAACAGACACACAGGCAGTCGGACACATACACACAGGCAGTCATGCACACGCACACATAGATACACACGCAGACAGACAGGCACACACCCACCCATACACAGAAACAGACACAGGGGCACACCCCCCACCCCCCCCCCCACACACACCTCCAGCATCGACGCCGCTTGCGAGGCCGGCGATGCGGCCGAGGACGGTGTTATCTCCGCATCGAATCACAATGCCAACACCAGACCCCTCCACGGCGTTGGTGGAGTAGAAGGCGATGTTCTGTGTCTCCAGTGGGTTGGCGTCTGTGCACTCTTTGCTGCGCTTCTGTGGCTCGGCCTCACCGGTGAGAGAGGAGTTGTCGACCTGTGGGGTGATGTTGCATGCAGGCACAACGCGTCAGCGCAAAGAGGTTGAGGAGGAGTAAGAACAAGCAGCAATGCAGAACACGGGATTGCGGACGAGTTTGGAAGCGCCATAATTCATAGGCCACATCCACGCACACGGATACACACACACACACACACACACACACACATGCTCACCTTGAGTCCCTGTGTCTCAATGAGGCGGAGGTCTGCAGGAATGCGATCGCCAGATTTGATCTCGACGACGTCAC